CGGTGTTGCTGTACGACATGGACAGTTGATCAAAAAAAGAGCAAGTTGAGCTACGTACAGCAGAGTTGGCTTCCACGCAGAGTGAGGGTTAAATTACAGGACCATGAAAGGAATGTCTATTCTGTTCCGGACAGAAATGGCCTCAGGAGATGCAGAAGTTGAAAAACGGATATTCGTTCTGTTAAACAAATTAGTTTAGCATAAACCAGCAGGGCTTCTCGTGTGATAACCGAAACAGCGAACATCGACCAGGAGGACAGTATGTAACATGGAAGAACAAGATAGAGTCAGATCTGCTTTTGGAGAGGAATATTTACTTTTGGGACGGAGGAACCGGTGTCTTATATAAAAAGTATTGACAAGTTGCGGATACACTGGATATCACAAACCGGAGATTTTTTGCTCATAGAAACATCTCAAGTGATGATTTCAACAGACACTATTATACATAGGGTTATTTCTTCGCTTTGGGTAAAGACTTTGACCAGGCTTCAAACTGTTTGCTCTATTGATTATACAATATCAATTACATGTACTTTTAATAATCTGAAAGACTGAATTCATAACTAGAAAAAGAAGTCTGCTAAGAAGGAAGACAAAATGATAAGCCTGAGAGCAAAACGCTTCGCTATAGTTTAATAACAGCCTAACAGCCATATCTCGTAGTCGTGTAATCTGGAGAACGTACGCTATGGATTTAAACACAGGCCTTTTTCTTAGTTCAGTTTTATCGTTGATCATCCAAGCTGAATACTGTATTTTCGCCAACCCTTGGCAAAGCACGAGGAATGCTAATACCTGCTTAAAGAAATTTGGCTTTCTTATTACACTTAATTGATTAAATTTAGGCTCTGATGTTCATTTTTGCCATTAAAGCATTTCTTTGCATTATTTTCTAAAAAGCAGAAAAACAGATGCATACGCATTTATCGAACACCTCCATGCTTTTCACCTTCAGCTCACTAGATAGTCAAAGTATACTAAAGAAAGTGAGCGTCTACTTATGGAGTCAGTACATCAGCCAGTTGCACGATGACTGATGAGTCAAGAAAGTCGTCTTCTTTCCATAAGCAGACAAGAATCAAATAAACAAGTGTTTCGTAACGCAGATATCACAGAAGGGCATGCGAAGTACAGAAGGCGATAAGATTTACACTAGTTTGAACACCAGCAAACTTTTTTCAGCTGTAGTTAATAGCTGAAAGAAATAATATCTTTGAGGCTACAGGGGGAAGACTCCACGTGGAATTCATGAGGCGATTTTCGTCAAGGAATGGCAAAGGTTTTCTTCGAAGCCTCTTTTCAACCTCAGTAAAAGAGAAGCTTCCTTCGACTGCAACTTGAGTAATGATCTGACATCAGCCGACGACGGCGAGGACGTATCTATTGACGGTACAATCAATTTCTGACAACTGATCCTAGCCGACACCAGTTTTCTAACATCCACCAATAGCAAAGCGATTTCATCTGCTAGGGGCGGGAAACTGCGAGAAAAGTCGAAGCATGATGGCAAGATTTCGTGGAACAGCTGCACAACTTCAGCACTTGGAAGCACTAAAAATGTCGTTTTTGACATTACAAAATCCACCAACTATCCATTTTACCTTGAATGAGGGTAGACAGTACGTCGACAGCCAAGTTGGCGCAAGCAAACGCTTTCGGAACCGCGTACTGTTTGCACAAGGTGGACAAAAGTTTCATGGCAAATATCTTAAACACAAACTGGCATGAAACACAGCATAAATCTGAACTGCGGAAAAACTACAAAGTATTAAGAAAAAGTTTTATAATAGCATTATGCAAGCTGCTCACCAATTTTTGTCGATCGCCATGAGCGAAGAGTTCAGGAATGAAATCCAAGCAAATATGCATCGAAGGTATTCTTGACACGGTCATTGGAATTAGCTCATCGGAATAGCCCTATGAAGAACGGAACAGACTGCTCAGCAATGAAACACTACATAACAAATACAGATAACAACCTGGAAATGGATCAACTTGATCAGCAACGGGTCGGATATAAATAACGAATGCAGAAATGAACAGACAGTGTCACGAATTTCGCTCAGTACGTTAAACGGTCCGCTTCTCTTCTACAAAAAACGTAAGAAATAACATGTAAGACGGAATAAACTGGCACAGCACAAAGCACCACATGCAAATTTAAATTCAATCAAATTACTCGTTCACGCGTATTCGGTAAACAGATTTCCAGAAGAATAAGCACCGCAGACGATTCCTGTGAGGAGATCAAACTCAGCATAAAATTGTTACGCTCCACTTCGTTCATCGTCGGAAATGCGGTACTGTTGGTGGCCTCAACGTCGATCGGATATGGCTGCGGAGGGACCGCTTTAAAAGCCGATTCGTAATAAAACCGACTCTCGAACATGTAACAGTGCAAAATTCGCAAAACCATCTGTAACACGATTGGGCAGCTATAAACAATGGAAAAATTAGCTTTAGATATTTGAACATATTCCTACGACAAAACTGTATAAAAGTGCAAGACGTGACTCAACAGACGGTCTTCCATGTTAGTACAATCATGTCTACTTCACTGCGCCAGAAAACTTTGGCCATTAATTAGGTCCATTCACATTTCGCTGAAAACTAAATCATTGACAAGTGCTTTCGCTAGTCTTAGCTACGTAAATTATTATCGAATTCCAATCAATGAAGGAACTAATTCTATCAATCGGGAACGGTCCTTATGACTCAAATTTCATGCGCACACATTCATACGAGGGAAATGAGATATGCTTAAGCTTCATCGCGTTTCCCAATTCAGGGAATCGATAAATTTAACGCAAATGGCGACCTGAGCGCTAAGGAATAGAGGATTTCGCCGTAATGACGAAAAACCCGGTAAGAAAATTATACATTTATTGGCATATTCAAAAAGAACAGTCATATTCCTCATCGCTTACAAAAGCACAGAAGGAGACTATCAATATTATTACGTCGAGCCAGATCTTACTTTAGTAACAGAACGATGCGACATTCATGAACAAAACTGCAGGTCGCAAAGTGCCATGGAGTTGTGTTAAGTTTTATTCTAATTGCAATTACGAGCAATTAGTGGGAAAAACTACCTTTGTAGAGGTTATGCGCTTAACAACATATCTCAACGTATAATCCTTAATGTATAACTTATAATCTGAAGAACAAAATTTATGTAATTTATTATTTTAAATATTTCACGTCATTTTTTTTATAAACATTTCATAAATTTGTGATAATTAATTTTATTTTAATATACATTAATTCAATTTTATGCATAACCGTGCGTTACTACTGCTGATTATACTAATACGGAACAAAATTTGAAAAGTCCTTTATGGTATGACACCACCTGTAACATTTATTCTACACATATTCTATAACGTTTCAGATCGTGCATGATACATCTTCATTTTTTCTAACGCAGAATTATCCAACATAATCCCCCTCGTGACATTTTATTCATTGATAAACCAAACT